TAGCACTGAAGAAGCGTATGATACCGATCTTGACGATTCAGCGGGTTAAAATTTTTAACGTAAACAATATTATCAGAGGTCGTCACTAAATGCCATGTCTGTTTTTAACTAATTAGACAATGAACATGTGATCTACATTTAATACTAGAACGAAATCTTTTTGCTGATGCTGTCAGGGCTTTGATACGCTCATCATAAGGTAAAGCTTATTTTTTAGGGTGAAATATCCACTTTTGAAACGACTGTTTCGATGACCACGGCAGAACAGAACTTGCTCTTAGATGGTCATCTGTTAATCGGTGTCGCACTTGACGGTTTCGAACCAAGCGATTTTCTTGGTTGTCTGATACCGAAGCAGACGTGCGACGGTATGCCTAATCATTTGCATACTTCTTGATTTATTTTTAATTATTTAATACCTGAAATACTTTGAATGAATAATCGGTCGATTTTAGTGCATCAGGGGATTTTGTCCCGTGACTTGAATCTGTCGAATACCACCGACGCTGGAAGCATTTCATCTGGGTATGCAATCATTGACGTGCTTAAAAATGGTAGCTTGAAATACGATGTAAGAGACAGTAAAAAGCAGAAGTGCTTCTGTGACCCTGCTGGGAGGTTTTAGATGGAAGTTAATGGCGTTGATGACAAAAAGATTTACGGTCTGGTGATTGAAAGAGAAATCGGCAGAAATCGCAAGAAGCTCATTGCGGGGAGTGAACAACTAATCGAATTCAGTGGTGGAATGGTAAATGTTTTTTATGCTAACAGCCAGCTGTCAAATGCGTAGACTTAGATATGGAATTTGATGATCAGCTGTACATTGAAACAGCACTACTTACCCTATCGACTTTTGATTTTTCGCAAGTATATTTTGCTTCGCTGGAGCACTGACATTTCTTGAAAACCACCCACAGATGCCGTCGTTCGATGGATGCCTAAATACCAAAATGGACTACTTCGTCATCAGCCACAGATGGCACAGCCCGTTACTCAGGACTCACATCAAGCTTGGTATTCTCATTGGGTCTGATACACCGTACCCTACGGTCATACCGGAATTTCGTCTAAAATTAGCCGTGTTGCATCCACGCCATCTGGTTCAAACACACCTGCTTCTAGATGTTAACATGCTGCAGTATGTCGAAGCGGTGTGGTCAGCCTATCAGTAGGATGTAGTTAACTGTATTTGTGTCCCATGCTTTAGTCTCGTCGATGAAGTTTCCAGTGATGATTTCAAAGAGGACATCATCTCTTCCGTGAAAATCGTTGTTTGGAACAGGAAGAGGATAGACAAACTGCTCTGAACACTGCATATGGTTCTAGACTTTATAGTGCAAAGGAGGAACGCTTATAAGACCCTACGGCATTCTAGAAAGCAGTGAATCCAGTTACGTTCACGCAGTCAGTCAGAGCTACAGACAGTACAAGGAACTTTAGCTGGAGGGAGAACCAGGAACATCGATAAGCCAGCCAGAAATAGTGACTGGAAAACGGTAGTCATTGATTCCGACAGTTGTCCGGTAAGCAGATACATCAGTCCGCCTTTTACAATACTCTAAGGGTGTTAATTAGGCAAATCAGAAGGAGTGCCTCAAAATATAGGCTGATCATTTCCAACAGTTGCTCAACAGCTACCCTCCAGATTCCATATTTTCGACTATTGATTGTTTGCCTACCCTGAAAGTTAGCTGAGATTCATCCACAGATCTGGAATTTAAAAACATCTACACTTGTACATGAAGGAGACCGATTTGATGGATAAAATTCCTCCGGAGTTAATTAAGTATGGAGGACCGACAGTGGTAGAAAATCTCCACGCCAGTTTGATAAAACGTGGTGCTCCAAACTTTTATTTGAAAAATAGAAATATGGAGTAACTACCCCTCTGTTTAAATCGGGTTAGGCGACTAATTGCTCCAATTATCGTGCAATCGCACTGTCGTCAACTCTCGAAAAACGTTTTTCCTGAATTAGCATGGGAAAGCTGAAAAAGGCAGTTGACTGAAGACTTCGCCAAACTCAGGCGGGCTTCCTGATGGGGCCAGGATAAATTTTAACTCTAGATTGAATCAGTTGAATCGTCAAGTAATGCCCACGATTTTATTTGTCTCGGTTTACCAGTTTCCTCGATAAGGCTGCATTTCATTCAGTGCATCGTCCTACTCTATGGATAATCTTAAACTGATATTGGATATCTGAAAAAATCGTTTCTATCTTGGAAGATATGAATGCACGAACCTTGTTTGCTGTCCAAATCTAAGAAAAGCCATCCGAATGGCTCCCTGTTAACTTTAAAGTTCGACAGGGAGACGTGATTCCGTCTTTGCTGTTTAAAATTGTTCTTGACTTTCTACTCCAAAACAGTGCTGTCCCCTGCAATAGCGAAGGCTCCGTTCTCAGAGGAAGGCGTAGTTCAAGATATTCGGCTAGATATCTTGCTGACCTGTTGTGCAGGTGATATAGTCCTAGTGAGTAGTACGGGAAGATGGCTTTATCACGTTACGACTTGCGAATGTAATACAGCTGCAAAATTCGGCCTATTTTGCGCTGAAGTCCAAAGTTATGTAGAACACGCCCGGCGCAGCTGAGTTGCAAGTGATCAGGTAGGTGAAGCGCTCCAGGCGATTGGCATGTTTAGGAATCTTGGCTCATTCATGCTTGCACTTTCCCCATCCAGTTATGTTTCATCAGGAAGATCGTAATAGCTTCTAGTGTTCTTGAAAATCTATTCAATATCTGTACTCAAAAAAGTAACGTTTTCCACAGAAATTCGCCTGTAAATTGTCTCGGTCTGGTCAGAACTCTTGTACGGCATGGAGGCAGTTATTCTAACGAAGGAACAAAAGTAACGGTTGAACTGCATATAGCAGCACTGTCTTCTACGTGTAGTAGGAGTTAGATGGCACGACCATGTATAGAATTATTCAGTTTCTTTCGGGTACAGGTGACCTTAACAGTTGTGCAGAGTTAAAAAAGAAAGTAGCCCCCGTTAAACAAATTGGTTTATCATAAACCGTTTATTCCAGCCCGCGAGCTTGTCAAGTTGGACCCGAGCTACAGCAGCCGTCGGCCAGTAGGCCAGCATGCAATCTGGAGGAACAGGATAGAGTCATTCGTATCATTTGAACCGACCAGTAATCAGCGACGAATCGCTCCGTCCGTAACACACCCTCTATTTCTCGCTGTTTCTCAAACCTTCTTCCTCCAAGAGAGGCTTTCCGAGCTCCTGATATAATGTTCCCATTGTCGTAGTGGATGACCAAGCCGCCCAGTCCACCCGTGAGGTTTCCAGTCGACTACAGTCTCCCGTCATTGAGTCGTGCTACGTGCCCGGCCCACCGTAGCTTCCGCGTTCTGCTTTCGACAGCGACGTCGTTCATTCCTGTCTGCTGTCTGATCACCGTAAGGTGGTATGATCACGAGGTGAGATTTTCACAATTCTTATTTTCATGGCTCTGTCGGTGACGTAGTTTGAGCCCTTCTGTTTTCATGGGTGACAGCGTCGCATAGCCATGAAACACCGCTAACAGAATGGTAGAATTGATGACGTAGGTGAGGGTTTTTCCTGATGTTTCCGAAGAGGGCGTCCCTGATGAAATGGAACGCGCTACAACCGGCCCTCTTTCTCCCTACAATCTTTTTAGCCTGATCATTCTGCATATCGACCCCTTGGCCAAGATAAATGTATTTATCGACTTAGACGTTTGCGCCGTTTAAAATTACCCGGGCCTTTGGTACGGCATTTGATCGCACTATCTTCGTCTTCGATCGATTGATTCGCAGTCTCATTTTTGCATTTTTTCTTGAGCTCTTGCAGCATGTCTTGCAGCTCTGTAGCTACTTGGCATTTTTCGCAAACACCACCTCATCAGCAAACCTTAGGTGGCCGAGCTGTTGACAATTGATGTTAATGACACTCTTCTACTTTATCATCCGGACCACCATTTCCAAGCGAGCAGTGAACGGACTGGAGGACGTGGTATTCCTTCATTTTACGCCCTTCTCTACGGTAATCCGGGTAGGAGGGGAGATATCGAACAGTGCCATGTTTGCGAAGCGGCCTTAGTACGTTTCCTTTAAAAGGGCATACGTAGAGGGTGTAGGCTGGTGCAGTCCGTTGATATGTTGTACTCGACATCATCGAACGCCTTTTCGTAGTCGGCGAAAGCGATGCAAAGAGAGAGCTGGTATTCCCTCACACGACCGATGAGTTAATTTAAAGTAAATATGTCATCCGTTGTGCAGCAGTTCCTTGGCAATCCTGTTTGTTTTCTTCGTTGCTGTTCGTCCAGAATTGTGAAAGCAAGCGGATTAGGCGGCGGTTATTCAGATCTTCCTTCCCGTCCTTCATGAACAGCACGATTTTATTTGGCTCCGTATAGATTGATCGTATCTTTCTCGTTTCCAGGTAGCAGCTGAGCTTCTTCGTTGGATCTTTCCTAATCAGGACCTCATAGTATACGTTTTAAAAGGCTGCGAATACAGCGAACATCACAAGCCTCAGACGTACTGTTTATGCATGGGGCTCAGGGTGATGATCTCAACAAACACACGATTACTTTGAGATGCATTTTAAACTCTCTTCTTTGCGTCATGGTCATTGATGAATTTAGGCTAATTTAGCTATATTAAAAGTCGATTTTTGCCTTTGCAGATTCTTTTGCTTGTCCTTGTCAGTAACGATCTATGACGATAATGGCTTGCTCCACTAGCTGCCCAGATCTTTGGCTTCTCGCTGCTTCATTAACGGCTTGGATAGTTGGCCGCTCTTCCACCGCAATATGATACGAAGCTATTGCTACGTATTATTGTTTTCTTTCAACGTGTTGTTCTGTACCTCTTCAAAGCCAAGTACACTGACTTCAACAAGTCATAGAATCACGAATTGCTATAAAAATAAATTCGACCATCAGTTCAGTTTTAAGCCCGACTTGCTGCTAGTGTCATTCAGTTTTTGGATACCTGCCTGGAGATGTATTGAGGATAATAATTTCTTTGACAAGCAACGGTTAAAGGCCGCGTTTCTTTATGATGTCCCTGATTTTCCCCGTCGAGTGTTATGATAACTTTTCTAGAACTGCTGGGAATAACCTTGGGTCATAATCATCAACCGATTCGAAATCTTTTTCGACTTTAAATTTGTTTGTGTTTTCGTGAAGCTGTGTGAGCCTTTGCGTAGTCATGGTCAGGAGGGCACTATCTGTTTTGTTGGGTCCGTTGTTTCCTCAGAGGACCTGATACTGGTCTGTTGATAACTCGCGAAAAGATCTTCGAAATTTCTAAATCCCAATCAGAGACAGATGATATTTGTTGTTTGTCTTAATAACTGGACTTACCATCACTTTAGTAAATTCTCTTATGAAATATTTCGCCCTTTGGTTAGGCAAAGTCCAGCTTTCTCCTACATCCGTTCATAACTAACTACCTTCATGAAGATAACGACTGATCAGTAATGAATTGATCGGTCTCTCTTTTCATCTCCATTTTTCGCATAAGCAGAATTATCGATGCAATGATAGATTCTTATGGGATTTTCATTTTTTCCAGGTAGCATGCAAATAAATGGCTAATAACGTCATCGGTTCCGTTCATTATTTTCGCATATTCGAATCACTGGCTAATATCCAGGAACATAGACATAAAATTTTTCATTCTGAAGGGAACCTCTCCAGTTATTTGAAAATTGATTGAACCTTCTTAATAATTAATGGCGGTCACTATTGCGTAGTCTCGATGCAGACACTCGTCTGTTTCGTACGATTTTCCGCTGCAAGCATCCATGTCTTTCTTTTGACTCTTCGTCCCATCTGAGCCTTGGTCTTGGAGTTGGGCGCTTGCAGTCCATTGGATACCAATCTGTCATTACGGAAGTCCGTTCAGTCCACCAGAGGTGCGATATTGCCTGCCGTAGTTTGACTCGAGCGGCAAGCGGGAGCCATTTCGGTTTGCGCTAGCTTTTTTTAGATCTAAATGAACAGTTTTTTTTCTACTGTTGACTCTATCAGTAATCTTTGACAGAACACCCGTTTGCCCTCCCCCAGATATTATGGGGTTCCAAGGTGACAGCTATGTGAGGCCTAGGCCCTCGCAATTTTTTGGTGAACTCTGGTACCACACCCCTTCTCCGGCCGTTTCTCCTCGGCGCCACGGAGCGGTACCTCACCTCCGGTTATGGCAGTTCATTTTAGCTAGCTAATACTATTCTTATCGTCCAGTTTTTCGGTAAGCTTTAGACTTATAATGGCACTGTTCTGCTCACAGAATTGGACAGGATGATGACATATTTTAACAGGCGTTCGAAAAATTCAGTAGTCTTTGACCGAGAAACAATAAATGAATACGATTTGTGGGAAAGCAATACATTTGACTCTTGAAAGAGATGAAGGCATAATCACCTACTTTATTTGGCATGGTTTAGCTTCTAGACAGCAGACCTGGTAAATTAGTGCCATATTTGTCTCTAAGATACAGCGTTTTTGTGCTTGTCAAAGAAACTACAAAATTAATGGTGAGGTTTTGACCATTAGCGACTACTTGATATTCTTATGATTCCGTTTATGTCTTTTTCGATACTGCAGTTGCTTTCGAACAGTACCATGATGCACTGCACTGAGTCATTATGCATTAATTTTATAGACCAGTGGCGTAATGGCGAATTTCGTTAACCTTAAAAACCTGGAATTACTGTTCAGAGAGAAACTAATATTTGAAATAATAGACCCGAGCGGAGCTTTTCTGCTCGGAGGTCCGATTCGAAGAATCCTGCATAACAATGCAGTGCAGTTACTTAATGGTAAGAAAGTGCTTGTCAACGATTGGGTTATTTTCGAGAGAAAAATTTCAGGAACGACCTCATTACTTTCTACAAATGGCATCGAAAATGCGACGGACAGTACAGTAGCTGGTGTAGCATGGTTTTCTGCACTGGAGCGCGATAATTACTGTGCCCTGACTTACTCGATCATGCTTTCGGGAGTACCTGCTCTGAAACCCGAAGAACTTCATTTCAGTTTGTGCGATTGGCGAAATCGAATTTGCCAATTGGAGTTGACGAATTACGACATTACAAACGCCGACTTGACGGACGTGGTCGTGCATGGTACAGCGGAGGGGATACATGCGCCCCTATGGGAGGCCCTGGCGGACAACCACAC